AATGGCAGTATTTACAACAGCAGGGCCTTGGAGACGATGTATTTTGTGTTCTAAACAGTTTATTTACGAATCGTACGTCATTAAAAATCGCTCTTAGATAGAAACTTCTGATACGATCGTAAATATAAGAATGCATTTATTTCAGCTGTTACACTCTCGAAGTTTATGAGAATTGCTTCTGTAAATCTTTCCTCCAGACTAACTTCGACTTGTTCTTTCTCGCTTACAAATAGCATTCACATACTTCACAACGGCTGTGAAGTCCTCGGAAGACATGGCTTGCTCCAAGAATATGATCACGGAACTTCAATTGGGATTCGCGCATAAAATTGTTTGTTCATATTAACGTTCAAAATAAAGATACAGATTTGTGGGAAATTAGAATGGTTGGGTAACCTCAAGGCAAAATATTTTTGTGAGCGCAGATCGGATGATAATATTTAAAAAACATTTCATGATATGCGGATGTACAATGAAAATTAAATTAGAACTAAGAGAGGAACAGGAGAGTTGAAAAGTTCTTATATTCATTTTCAGTTGATTTATACTTTAATCTCAACAAATAAGCAACAGTGGTGCAGCGGTTACAATCGTAATTTACAAAGCCAGTTCGTGTAATACATATATTTACCTTCCCTTCGCTTCTGGACATGCACAAGTTTATAAAACTCCAGTCTGTTTGATCTCTAATTGGGGAGGCGAGCAGAGAACTCTGGGATAAAAATTAGGAGTCTCCGGAGTGATTCTGAGAAGAAACTTCATGATGCTTTAGAAACCTATGCTACGCGTATGAAACTTACCAAAAAAAAGTACACTCGCATTCATATGATATTTTATATCGTTTCTCCAACATAAATATTTTTATCCCAGTCATTTTATTCTATTGGCACTGTTTATTTCTCACTAACAGTTAATTGAATAAACGAATAGCAAATTTTGTTTCTAGGAGAAAACCACTGAAGTCCATCTGAACGTAGATTAATGCAAATTTAAGGGATTTGATTGATTTTTATATAAATTAAATTATTTTAATCGCTGATGTTTGGTTAACAGTTACCATAGCTTTAATACGATTTTTGTGGGTTTGAAACTTGGCCTGCCAGATAAGGGAGTAATATGGATTCAGGGTATTTGAGAAGAGGCTGTTGAAGAGGATATTTGGATCTAACATGGTTGGAGTGACAGGAGACTGAAGAAATACGAATGTTAATAGGCTTCATAATTTACAAACTTAATTTGTTATTAAGCTAATTAAATCAAAGCAAAACAGATCGGAGTTGCAAGGAATAAGTACAAATTTTTTGTTAGAAAACCTGAAGGGAAAATACCACATGGAAGAACTAGGCTTAGATGGACAGATAATATTAAAATGTATATCAATAATAGTAATGTGTGAGGTCATTAACTTATTCATCTTATTCCTTATAATGTAACAGCGTTCCACACCCATAAGAAAAGGAAATTTGTTGCTTTAATAAACCTATACCAAGTTCTTCAGCAATTTTAAAATTATACGAAATGACATTTGTTACAAGCATTTCCATAATTTATTCTTCTTCAAATCTTAAAACAAACCTCGTATACGGAATGACATTTTTTTACGAACTTGTTACAAGCATTTCCATAAATTCTTCTTCTTCAAATCTTAAAACAAACCTCAATTATATTTGAAATTTTAGGCTCTCACACGCGATATAGATGAAATTTTGGTCTCCTGTCTTGTGACACCGTTTGATCTTGAAGGAAGGAATATATACCAAAGTTCCGAAGAAACATACCGCCTTCATCTTCTTAAAAATCGACCCCCGTGCCTCCCAACTTATATTTATATTGCGACGTTTTTATTCTGGTTTTCGCCTATGTGAACCTGCAGGAAGATGTCAACGTTTCGGAGAAACATTAGTCTCCATTTTTAGCACTTCAACCCTGAAGATGGAGATTGTATGATTTTTTCCGAAACTTCGGCGTCTACCTAAAAATCTACACGGCAACAGAACGCAGGGTGACGTCATCATTGCCGCCGCCGTGAACATCTAAAATCTCACACAATTTTATGGCGTCTTTCTTGCTCATTTCTCTTTACGTCTATATTATTCATTTGCTTTAATTTTTACGTGTATTTAAATTAATGAAGGAAGTCACCAGTTACCACCCGACCCATTCTCTGTCGCGTTTACATGTATGTAGAGGTTTCATAATTTTATTTGATCACAAACACACCAGCGTATATGGAGGTGTGCCCCCCGGCACACTTTGAAACAAAAGGATGGAATAGGAAAATATAAAATAAAACTGCTGCAGGCGGTATGCGAATCGGAAACCTCTGGAAATAAATTCATCAGCACTGTCACATATTAGTATCATACTCCATATTACAAATGCCCTTTTGGATGTATAAAATGTCATACGTTTCAACCACAAAATAAATACAAAAAGTTTACTTTCATGCTAGTAACAAAAGCCATAAGAATGTTATAAAACATAATCAAAAGAAAAAGTAATGCCGTGGAAAAATATCAAAAAATGTTTCATAATTAAAATATTTATGAAATATTATATTGTATAAAGGAGGCGTGTCTAGCTAAATTCGTG